CGGGTGGTGAGATCGTCGATGCCGAAAACATTAACGAGTGGTTGGAGTGTGACGTCAACGAACTTGGCTTCGAATGCTTCACAGATGACAAAAGCAAGGGGAGAGACCGAGAATGAAGGACAGCGAAGTGAAGGCGAAGAAGAGCCCATTGTGCAGATGCGGAAGACTCACGATGGGGCTTTGCAACAAGTCGACGGACTGCTGAGCTATTTGGAAGAACAAGACGACGCGGAGTTGGCCGAGAAACTTATGCTACTAAAAATGCAATCTCGGATTAAGAGAAAATGCTTCCAAAGCAAGAAGCAAACACAAATGACTGATTTCTTCAAAAAGCTGTAGTTTTACAGTTATGCTTTTGTAATTACATAATACATTACAGTATTAAAACAGTACATACGTATTCATTTTTCTGTGTGTCCTTGACGCCTCTCGTAAGTATACAAAGCACTTTTCTGTTTTCATTAACAAAATGCATTTTAGGTTAGTTTTGAGTGATATACTAAAATATTAAGCGTTAGTTAAACATTTCCTGCTGTTTATTTTACGTTTTATTGTACATAAAACAATTTTTCAAAGTTGGAATGATTGTTTTCTCTTTTGCTATACCCGTTTTTAGCTTTTTCGGATTATCCGCGAGCTTTTTTCGGATTATCTGCGGCGGCCGCGTCACCCAATTTTGCGGATAATTGAGAGTGTACTGTATATATCTCGTTGCCATGGACAAAGAATCTCTAGAGATTCTTTGAGATTCTTTGGCCATGGACCCTGTGACTTTCAGACTTTTCTTGCCGCAGTGCTTGCGCTGACTGTCGGTAAATTTATCAACTTTTACTTGTAGTTTCATTCGTAAGTGTCCTAGCAAAGGGGTTGGATTTTTAGTGACTAATTTAATATTTCTTTTGTAAATACTAGATTAAATGCTAAATACATAAAATTTATTAATAAATAATGTTAATTTTATATTCATTATTATTAATATAATAATGAAGCCTTTTAATAAAAAACGATACCCAGTCGACTAAATCTAACTGATTTCGAGTTATCTTTCACATTAATCACAAATAAATCTTACTCAGACCCTTTGAGTAAGATTTATTTTATTCCCATTACGCTAATTTTGCATTACCTTATTAATAATACGTTATTTTTATGTTAATTCTTTCTTGTACGTTTTGTTTCTTTCGTTGATTGTCACCATTATGCAAATGAGCTTAAATTTAAATAAACAGTGAATTAGTAGTTTTAAACAGAGAGATGTGATAACCAACTAAAAAGCTGTTTATCCCAGAGACGTCCATCTGTGTGCCAAGCTACGCTTTGATGACTGATTTAGTGCTCTTTAGTTGTTTTAACAACCCGAAGACTAGAAGCCACGATATCTGAAGTTTAGTTAGGTGTTGAAAGTTATCTTTTGTTTTGTGCTAAATAAATATTTGAATTTCTGAAACCCAAAACCCTTTTTTAATTAAACTCTGCCCCAGCAGTGGCCAACCTGTTAAGATTACTGAATAGCAGTAGTTCGACACAGATTCCAACCCAGATGAACGGGCTAGCTGCACAGGAACAAGGAAATATAACACAGGAAGTATAAACAAGGGTACTTTATGAGCTAAATGATTTTTAACCCTAGAACTGTAGAAACAGTTAGGTTTTTCGAAACCAGGAGACGTAATAAGTCGCACGTTCAATCGAAATCTGACTGAATCTGCATAGAAAATTTTGGATACCTATTTATTTCAGTCAGTCTGCATAAAAATGTTTATTAAATCCCTCCTGAAATTCGGATATAAATTAATAATAATTAAAGGTTTGGATGCTACAAAAAGTATACACCCGTGGTCCTGTTTTAAAAGTTTTATATTGATAGGCTGCAACTTGCATTTGGCACGTTTCCTTGTAATATACAGCGAACTGGCATATTGTTGTGAGCTACAGTTCTATTGAAATCTGCTTAATACATAAATAAGATCAACAGGAGGAAAATGAAAATGTTTTGAAAGAATACACAACTCGTATAGCAAGATAACAAGCAGTTCACGGAGAAAAAAAGAAGTAAATCAAATTCTCCTTAATGCTCTAAGCATATCGCAGGTAACTAATATTACTAAGCAAAGTCTAAAGCAGAAATCACCGAAAAGAGCTCAATACAGTTGCACGATTCTGAGCTGAATAACTGAACTACTTCCACCTTCAGCGTAGTCCGTATTTGTAAGGTTGTCCAAATACTTTCAGAAACTTTGACAGCTTCTACAGCTTCAAAAATGTGTTTTCCTGAAACTCCCAGAATATCACCAAATTGATAAAAAAAAAAAAAAAAAAAAAAAAAAAAAAAAAACCCTGCTTATTACTTCTAGCTTAATGATAAAAATTGTCAAATCTCCTCAGGAGGGTTTTTTTCTATGTCTCTGGATTTAATTGAGCTTATTTTTTTGGAACTGAAATTTGGTCTGATCATAAGTACAAATTCTAGCCCATAACACACGAAATAAATAACTTCAAGCACAGTATGCGACAAAGTCGTACCTACGCATTTTTTCACCTCAGGCAAAGAGACCAATGAGCAGTGTTATCCCCTACATATAATGCAAAGTATCATATACTTCTTAAGAGTAACGAAAAAATAGCATTGGTCTCTTTGTGATATTTTAATGCATTGTCGTGCCGCCTGAGTAGAAAGACGAACAGATGACGCCAACACAAAATGAATTAGACGAATTCCCAATCTTTATTTTCACGCATATAAAATCATCTCAATCGATATTTATCCAATCATAATGAATTATAATAATTTCTTATGTACAAGGTTGACAGGGGTGACATACTAATTTAGATGGACAAGCGGAGCAGCCAGGGATATCTTAGCAGTGGCGAAGCTAGGAAAAAGAATGACGCAGTTTTTTGTGCCAAGAGTATTTATACTAAGTACATGCAGAAAGTACGCTAAGCTATGATTGGTTAATCTTAGGTTGTTATATAACATAGAAGGATCTCGAATTTGGGAGAACAAATGAATTTAGGGGGAAAGCACCAAATCTAGAATAGTTAATTTTGAGTTGCCAATTATTTTTAAAGCAGCTATCGTAATTTCCTACGTCTTACACATATATATAGTATATATATAATTAAAGAAAGGAGAACAAACTAAAAAACTGCTTTTTATTTTTATTTTAATTTTAGTTTTTTCCTTCGTTTACAAAGTTTAAACTCTTTAAGCTAGTAGGTCCTCCCTAAAAATCTTGTATTTTTGACTAATAGCAATTCGCTATTTATTTAATTTTGTACATTTGCCTAACCAAGTCAGTTTGTATAGTTTTTCCTTACACCATTAATGTGTTTTTAATTTACATTTACAAGTGGACGTGTCGGGAAATGAAACAGAGAAATTGAGACTAAAGTTTTTGTCTAAGTTATTTTTTCAGTTAAATATTCAAAACGTTTCGTGTACAGTTTCAATTTTCTATTTTGACGAAATGCAATATGGAATTAGCTGGATTCGAAAACCATTATGTATTTCCCCTGAAGAGTCTATAATGAGTTTCGAATTGGGCTAATTTACCATTTACCGCTTTTTTTTTTTTTTTTTTTTTTTGTATTTTTGCTTCTGTCTTATATCACAATTGTATTTTTATTCATAAGTTTAAAACTTATCTAAACTTTAATCAACATATTACTTCCAATTTGATTTGAGTTTTAAATACGCTTTTTATTTATCAGTATTCTAGTGATAATTTTGTTTATTTTGTATTTAAACTTTTCATTGCACTTTATTTTAACTTTTTAACCGGAACCGGATTTTAACTTTTTAACCGGATAAATTAAAAAATTTTTTAACCGGAACCACAGTATCACAGCGACTTTTAAGCGGAAGCATTAAGAATTTTCTTTTTACTATATATATATATATATACGCATCATTAACTTTGTGTAAGATTCATATAACAAAAATTAATTTGGAAATGACGCAGTTTACTAAAGTATATTGTAAACAATTACTATTTTTATGACGGAAAGAGGGAATTAACCAAAATAAAGTGTAGAATTAAAGGACTTTTTCAAATTAAAGATAGAATTTTAACTTGCATACATTTTTATATTGTACACTTATGATAAATACCAAAGAAACTATTAAAACATGCATTATTAAATACGTGTAATTATTTAGAAGTTGGCAAATGGTATGTAGATGCGTCAAGACATAATTGCAGGTAACGGCCGATTTAAGATTTTTTTTTTTTTTTTTAATTTTTAAAAATTTTTCATTGACAGACATATTCGTTAGCAAACACAAAATAAATTAGCGCTATAAGTGCACCTATTCTACAGCATTTACATTATCGAAAACTACAAGCAGCAGCAAGTTAAAAGAAGTGAAATGAAGCAAATGCGACGTTTTCAAGATGAAATCATTGTCCAGAGTGATACAGCTATGGTCTGAAATTCTCGCATTGACTAATTAGTCAGTTTAGTTTCTGCTGTTAAAAGTTTTGATTCCCAAATCTGAAATCAAAGAACGCGTCATATGCGTTACGAAAGAATTATATATTGAGTATTAATTTTGAAATTACACAGATTATAAAAGTTTATTATAAGCAGTTACTGTTTTTAGAACATAAACGGGCAAAAGGCAAGCTAAAATGTAGATTTAAGAGACTATTGCACATTAAAGTTAGCACTTTGCCTTATCCATTATTGTGCATCATTGCGTATATATTATAAACACGCATTATATAATGAATTTTTTATTGAATTTCTGAAGCATTTATATCCTTTGGATATTTAAGCTGCTGCCTTTAATCTACCTAAATATAATAACTTTAATTTTTCACTTGTTAGAGACTGAAAATCGGAAGCTGTTGTCGTTTCAGGTGTGACATTAAAACATCTAATGCTTCTTTGATTTCCATTATAAAAATATAGTTTTCTGAAAAATTAGTAAACTGTAAAACACAGGTTTGATTATGTTATGTTATGTAGAAGTGAAGGGGCCATGTAATATTTACCTTAAGTTAGTAGGTATTAGCCCCACACATTAACTAGAAAACCATCAACATTCATCATTCCTCGAGTCGTGATGAAGGCATTGGTAGCTTTGATTAACTTCATTTCTCAATTTTTTCCTTCATTTGTATTCTGCACCAGAACAGAATGTTTTTTTAATACCATCTGTAAAAAAATTAGGTTCTTGCGTGATTTTTATCGAAAAAGTATTTGAATTGTTTGAATTTTATTTTTTGTCATCATAAAGCTAGTAAATGCTTATTGTTGAATGAAATTTATATAATATAGCTGTAGGGTTCTGTTTAGTTGTACTAACAATTATTTTAATTTATGTGCCTTTTCTGAATTCTCTTACTCCTCCTCGTAGGAATGTAAATTAAGTAGGTGAGCGATAGTATTTAAAGTGCTGAAACGAAAAGTTTAGACAGAATATGATTTCGTTAATGAAGCGCATGTGTGCTATTGTTACGAAATGTACAGGCGCGGTAAGATGGCTTCCACGCAAAGCAGTTTTAGGGTTGCCATAAAATGGCAAAGAAAGGCAGGTTTGTCACATTTGGCGTAAAATCGCCCGTTTGGCGATATTTGGCGACAAAATTGGGGATATGCCATGGACGGATGGAGAACCTTCTGGAACGAATTCTTACCGATTTTGCCCAAAATGTTCTCGAACACAAGCCGAAAGCTATATAAACCCTGCTGGTCCGCAGTCAGAGTGTGTTTGCCTCTTCAAGCGAGCTGATAGTCAGTCATTGAGCGAGTGTTTCGAAGTCTAGCGCCGAGTTGGTCGTCGAGTGCATCGAGAGAGTCTTTTAGTGCATCGCGAATTTGTGCATCGTCGGGTTTTGTCTTAGACTGTGCTGAGTCGAGAGCTATACTCTTGTGTATCGTCGAGTGCATCGCGTGGAGAGTCTCGAGAGTAGGTGGAGTTCCGAAAACGACCAAGCAGAGTTGGGAGCTGTACTCGGGTGCTTTGCAGTGAAGCTGTCTTCATTATTTAATTCGTCATTATTTAATGGTCGTCGAGTGCATCGAGAGAGTCTTTTAGTGCATCGCGAATTTGTGCATCGTCGAGTTTTGTCTTAGACTGTGCTGAGTCGAGAGCTATACTCTTGTGTATCGTCGAGTGCATCGCGTGGAGAGTCTCGAGAGTAGGTGGAGTTCCGAAAACGACCAAGCAGAGTTGGGAGCTGTACTCGGGTGCTTTGCAGTGAAGCTGTCTCCACAGTTATTGCCTGACAGTGTGAAGGCTGTGTCGCTGAACGTGTCAGCGTGTTTATAACAGTTCGACGACTGTAAAAGTGATTTTGGAGCTATCTGATTAATATTGGTAAATAAAGCGTGTTTCGAGACTTTATCAAGTGCCGTTGTTATTCACTCCAAATCTACGAACCCCATACGAACGTAAAGGAAGAAAATAACGTAACACTATTTTGTTCTCCAGCTGTTAATCTTAGCATCGGCTATGCACTCTGGCCGTTCAAACACGTTACGTCCATGCCTTCTGATATTCAGTTTGTGATAAATAAAGGGTCTTTTACACCCTTTCCCTGTTGTATACATTTTCAAGCCTGTGCGAGAAGTCGCCAGGTACGAATGTTAAGGGGAATTTTAGATTTTACACAGAAATTGAAAAAAAAAAAAAAAAAAAAAAAAAAAAAAAAAGAAATGTATTATAAAATATTAAAAACACTACAGAAAATTAAAGTAAACTTTTTCTTTCGCTTTGATGTTAAACATTTTATGCTGTCGTTTCATGTAAACAACAGAACAATACAGAAAAAGGAAAAATCATGTCTTACTTTGTCTCTTCTGATGCTAGTAGTTAAATTTGTTCCATCCCGAGATATATCATATAGCTGTTAGTAGTGATTCTTCAACTAAAATTCCTAGAAGTTCTTCAAAAGAAATTACCATTTCGGATAGCCTTAACATAACTTTATTTTAATATTTTTACAAACGCAAAAATATTAATAGTTTACACAGTTCTATCTTAAATTTAATTGCATTTCATAAAATGCCACTAGAATATCTTCTGTTGCCATTCCGGTAATGCATAGTTGAAATTTTTCTTTACTCCTGAATTTCCAATTTATCGTCTGCAGTTTAAAATCTATAAAACCGTCCACTAATCATTGAAAGAAAATAAAACTAATGTGCAAAACTAATGTGTTTAGCAACCAACAATGATTATATTAAGTTTCGGCAATAATCGTATTGTAAGTTAAATGTAAAATTTCGAAGACGAATTAAATAATGAATACAACAGCGCATCAAAGACTCCAACAGCGAATCTTAGTAAACTTTGTTTGGAAAAACAGAGTAACAAACTGATATACGGCCCGTTTGCTTTCAGCCTTATGCAACTTTCTTTTCTTTTCGCCATCGACGGAACAGCTGGCCCACTGGGTTAGGGCTTTTCAGCCTGCTGGATCCCGTCGATGGAATTAAAAATAAATACACGAATAAATATAAATAAAGAGCTTAGTACTGTGACCTCCGGGGATTGGCCACGAAACGAAAAACATTGAAATAAGGACCAGAACATGGAAAGAAGGTGCATGGTGGGGACTGTTGAGACTAAGCGAAACACTTTTCATTATTATGGTATATGCTAGGCAAACAGTTATATTAAAGATGTGCTATAATAATCAAGTACAGTTGTAAAGATGATCAAATACATTACAAATTGTGGAATACATTAAATGAGTTCTGGATTAATCATAATATTAAATATAATTAAAAACAGCAAAAACAAAACAACAGCAACAACAACAAAAAAAAAGGGGGGGACATTAAGTAAATTAATATATATACGGAGCGGGCTGTTGACGGCACGGTGTCCAAGGAAAGAAGTCACTCCAGGCTGTCAGCAATGCTTTTAGCAATGTTAGTGCAGTCTCTAATGCGGCTGAGCGCATATTTATTCTTAATTGTATTCTTGAACCATGCCGTCATACTGATTGCAGTTGTTCTTTTTAATGTGAATTCCCTGTGTGCGAGCAGTCAAACAGATAGTGATCTGGGTCACATATTCGTAAGAGAGAATAATAATGTAAATTAGTTAATTCATCTTTAATTAATTGTATGTTTATTGTTTTTTTTTTTTTTTTTTTTTTTTTTTTTTTTTGACTCGACGCTGAGTAAAAGGAAAATTAAAAGACGACAGTTCGAATTAGTCGAGGACTCGGTTGGGGTAATTTGTATTATAGAAAAGCTATAAAGTTTATCTGCTTGCACGGAAGGATGCTTTCGTGGAAAACGTTTTAAGGGAAAATCATCATATTCATTTAACACGTGGTGAAAACACGAAAACGCCAACAAATGAGATTTGAACGCAGGCCGAATTACCACTGTTACCCCTGACGGGCACAAATGACTGGGATAAATAGTGAATGAAAACCAAGTTATTAGCTATATAGGACCAGTAAAAATGAAATATGGTGTCCAGAATATAGTAAGATTTTTATTTGCTTAAATGTGTTAATTTAGAACTATGCTTATGGAAGACTTTCTACGCTGCTGGCCATTAAAATTGCAGCACCAGGAAGGAATGATCTGACGAACGTCAAAATCACATGAAAGGAAGAAGTTGGGATATGCAAATGATTAGTATTTCAACGCATTTAGACGACGCAGGAGGGAGAAAGGACAGCTGAAGCACTGCATAAAAGAATAGTTGTGTAGTGGATTTCTTATTCGGAAAGTGCTTTGTGAGGTTGAAGTTTGCTCAGAATATCATGTTATGCCTCGAATAAGAAGAGGAAATACTTACCAGCAAGTTTCGAAATTCAATAGAGGCAGAATCGTTGCCTATCGAAAGTGGATTATTATTGTTCCATGATATCGCCGGTCGCACTGGTCGAAATCCAACCACTGTCATGCAAATATGGAATCAATGGATTGCTGAGTGTCATCCTGAACGTTAGCAGGATCTCAGCGCTCTACTGTGTTTAACGCCAGAGAGGACAGACATATTGTGAGGTCAGTCCTGCTGCAAAACCGTACTACCACATCCCGGACCATTAGTCAGGAAATGAGCATGTTTGCAGCACGCCCAGTATCAGCTCGTAAGGTGCGTCGACGTTTGCAGCAGTGTGGACCATTACTTCAGCTTTCCTTGACAATGAAGCATAGAGAGAGACGGCAACTCTGGTGCGCCAAACGGTAAAGCGAGGTACAGGAGTGGCACAATATCGCCTTTTCAAACGAGAGTTGCGGTTTTACGTGCAGTATTCTGATGGTCGTATACGTGTCTGGAGTGTCCGAGGAGACTGCACGTCGCCTGCTTGCGTTCGATATCGGCATAGAGGCCCTGCATCTGGTTTGATGGTTTGTGCAGCCATTGGGTACACGACAAGCACATTTCTAGTTCGGATCGACGGTAATTTGAACGCAGATGGGTACATTTCTTAAATCTTACGTCCAGAGTTTGGGCCGTATCTTCGAGGCCCCCAACAAGATAATGCAAGACTTACATGTTGCACGTCATGTTCTAACCTTCCTCGATACACAGGGTATTCCACTGCTGCCCTGGCCTGCACGGTCTTTAGATCTGTCACCCATTGAAAACATCTGTACTTGGGTTGCTGAAAGACTGGCCCGCTACCCCTCTCCAGCTAATACGGTTTAAGAAGTGGGGTATAGGCTTGAAGCAGCATGGAATGAGTTGCCCATTTACATCATCCCATTTACAACAGCCCAGTTGACTCCATGCCTAATGGGGTAAGGGCCATTCTAGCTGCCAGGGAACTATTAATTTCGCATCCCTGTAAACCTCCTTTTGTCTACATGCCATACTGTTAACGTGCAATAAATATCTTTTTTATATTTGCTTTCCTTTATGGTGTTGCAATTTTAATGGCCAGCAGTGTAGTTTGAAAGTAAACAATATTAAATTCTTTTTCAAAAAGATTTTTATTATTTTTGTAACTAATTTAGTACCCCACCTATCCATTTCCCTGAGGCAAGTGCCCTCACTTGTTTCCCACTCGTGGCGTTAGTAAGTGGCTTCAAATTCAATTGAACCAAAAGACACAATAAAATTATTGCGTAAAAAGGGTTTAAATAAATTAATAAATAAAAACAATACATAACACTAAAAAGTACATTAAGACAAAAATACCATCAAATAAACAAAAATATTTTTATTAGTTTTATAACATTACAACTTAGATTAACATGTATGAAAAGATTTGAATCATATGATTTAGCATGATTTTTGAAAAGACTCTTGTCTGTAATTATTTGTATTTGAGGTAAATGTTAAAGTGTTTGTTAAAAAATACAACAAAATTTCCTTATTGCCCTTAAGGTCAGCAAACACCCAATCCACAACACTTCAGAGCTCACCTGTTGCTCAAGTTGGGAAACCACGAATCAGAAAGATAATTAAAATTAAATTAAATGGAAGGTGACTATCAAGATCACTGAACAGCGGCTGACGGTCATTGGTAATCGGTGAGCAACAGCGCAATAAATTAAAATGTATTACTAAAATAAAATAAAACTGAAGGTCATTGGTGACTTACGAATTGTAAAACACCGATGGGTGTGTCACTATCAAGAACACGATATAAACTAACAAGAAGTGCTTTTACAAGATCAGCGATTGCAATCAAACTCAGTATATCAGGTGGACCAAATAGTCATTAATGTGCAATAATGGGCCGCTAGAAACGAAAAGCTATTTTCATACTTCATGATGTAGTGATTACGAAAGTAAGTACGTAATATCTTACTTAATAACTGTGTTCCTAAAAAAAAAAAAAAAAAAAAAAAAAAAAAAGGGGTGGGGACATAAGTAAATCCGGTTAGTAAATGGACTTATGGTTTCTTTTTTTCCCCGATACCTGATATCTTTTCCATGCAACCAGCTTTCGGATGTCTGGAGACATGTTACTCGTGGTAACAATTATCAGAATAGATGAATGTCTGTTGACCTAAATTTCGCTGGGGACGTTTCCATTTTCATAAGTGAAAAAAAGGTGTTCATGCCAAGCATGGAAATTACGTACTGCCGAACATGGAAATCGCGTATGATGCAAGTCTATATCTTTCTCGGAATCGTGCAGATAAGTATTTGTAAAATTCCAGGATACCCATTTCACATGAATGTTTGTTTTAGATTTATACTTAATTTCTGTTAATTCTATCTGTAAAATGGCACTTTTTCAACATCGATAGTAAAAAAAACCATCTCAAGAGTCCCTTTTGCAATCGAGGTTGTACAATATATACTTCGTTATTCTGTAGAATTCCAGTTTTTAGTAATACGTTATTATTATACACTTTTTGTTATTTTCTCGGAACGAACGGAGGGCCGCTGAAAAATGACACAATGGCCATTAGTTTGACATGCTTCGTAATAAATTTAAAACATTTTATTTTGCTAAATGGTAGCGTTTTAAGAACTGTCCCTCCTTGAAAGACCTGCAAGGAAGGTAAATTTAATTTTTTTTTTTTTTTTTTTTTTTTTTTTTTTTTGGTTGTTGTTTTTTGTTTTGTTTGTTTCTCACAGTGGCAGCAATACACTAATAGTGTTCCTTCTGAAATTCATCTTCTAATCCCCCTTACTTTTTCATATTTTCCATGACTAAGCAGAATAAGTTCCCTGATCAATAGTTATTAAATTAAATGTGAGAAACCGAATAATTTAATGCGTTTAGTACAAAATCTAATGCAATAACTAAGCACATTGTAAAAATCTAGTTTATTTCACTCATTACTGTGAAATAAATAAAGAAAATATATGCAAAAAAAATTAACGAAAAACATTTGAAAAATGGGTAGTTTTCTCAAAAAGAAATTTAAAAATTTGAAAAAATGTTCATTCTGCAAAAAATTATAACAGTGCAAACTACATTATTTATTTGTAAAGAGAAATTAATTTACAAAGAATTGAGATTATAAAACAATCGAATTTTATTACAGAAGAGTGAATATTATTTTATTAAAAGATAGAGAAGAAAGCTGCAGAATAATAACATTTTATCAGGTACAAGATAGGTAAATGTTCTGCAAGAAAAGCAGACATCATCATAATTTTTTATCTGCTTTTTTAGTCTTTATTTACTGGATATTAACTTTCCTTACTCTTTTAGGGAAACGTTCTGATTTTTCTGACTTTCGCTGACTTTTTTTTTCAGACTCCCCCTAGACTTCCTGGGATTTCCCAGGAGAGGGGAAACCTTAACTTTATAATTTCTGCTTTGTGAAATTAAACATTATGTTCAACCTAATGGCTAAGCACAGAATTTTCTTAACCTATTACCATGTTATAGCCTTAACAATTATTTAACTGTACATAAAAGCATTTTTTAAGCACTTAAAATGAAATGAAGGTTTTATTCATCCACTTTCTAGTGCATCACAACTAAAATAATAGCAAATACTAAAACGATTAGTTTACACAATATTATAAGATGACGCTACTTTTTCTAGAATGTAAGGATCCTATTCTTCAGAGTAAGATGCTAAATTAAAAACTAAACACCTGATCGCCTACATTATCTCTAAACTAGTGAAATATTTACTACGGCGCAGGATTAACTAACTTTTCACGAACACAGCGGGAAATATTGCTGAGTAAAAAAGAAACATAGCTGTTATGTAGCGAAAGCCCCAATAGCCATGCGGTTAAGATTAACTTCCTTTATTTAATTATAAAATCTGCCATCATATTTGCATAATATCCTGGTCGAAACGAGTATTTTAACATGAGCTAAGAAGGATAGAATAGTGTTTAACTCAAATCTAATTTCTAGTGAAATTTAATAATAATGTCACAACGTTTTAAGTCACATGGATGTTGAGTGCATTGTATCACAGTGCAACATAGCATAAAGGTCCAAAAATTTAGGAAGGATCTGAGAACTTTTTTGGCATTAATTAAGCAAAAACGCGTAGTTGTGTTCGTCTAGATCTTTCATGCTAATTCGTTGCTTTTTTGGAGGGCGGGAGAACCTTTTCTATTTCCTTCCCCCTCCCCCCGTAAAGGAGGAAAATGCATACAATTTTGTTAATTAATGACCCTGCTCCGCCGAGAGAAATGACTATATTTAAGCGAAAATTTTCTTTTACAGTGAATCGTGCAAAATTTATATGATGGATGGTAATTTGTTCGATCACGACTTTCCTATTAAGAGATGGAGCACTCGGCCTCAAAGAGAGATCTCATCCGATAACAATCAGGTTAAATCAGTATTTTAAATACCCTGATTGCATCCGTTTTGTTTCCTTTTTGTTTCTGTAGTAATAATTAATACCAAATACTTTTTTCTTAATGAGTCAAACCGCTGTGTGGGTTCCTTTTCGTTTTTATTTTTAGCTGTTTGTTTATATGTCCTAGCAACATGTTTTCATTTGGTGGAGAAAAGAACACAAAATCTAATAATTCTTATATCTTGATATTAATATTTCTCACAAAATACACTATAGTTAAACTTTTAATAGAATTTATGTTGAATTTTGCTTATTAAACTAGTGTAGGTCCTCCTAACAGTATTTCACTCAGAGTGTCTTATAGACTGATGTTAGCAAGTTACCGGCCTAACTGAAATCAAATTATGCATAGATTTAAAGTTTACTCAATTTCATTTGCCTACGACTGCTGAATGAACAACTAAAGCGACAATGTAAAATTAAGAAGGCGGGTTACTTCTCTAGAATACATTTAAAAGAAGGCCTCCTACCTGGTACTATTACAATTATCAAAATCAAATTCTTTCAAGCGAGACGCCTGATTGCTCCTTCAGCTAATCGCCGTAAAGTGACTTACCAACGTCGAACAACAAACGGAAATCGCTGCGGCATTCCGACAGATGCTGCTTGTCTTTTTTTTCAGTATTGGCGATAGTCCAAAGAGACAATACGGCACAGATTTTGATTTAATATGACCGGAATTACAGTTAACATTTAAATTTTCTCTAGCGTATTCTGCGCTAGTCTTTAAACTTTCTTTCGGATACTCTTAATTTGCGCGACCTTCTGGTAGAAGCGAATACGTGCGATGTATTTGAAAAGGAAGATGCAAAATTAACCTAAAATAAGATTAATTTATAGCGAAACTTAAAATAATTGTCACAGTATGATTTCAATAAGTTTGTTAATCAAGTTTCCTAAACGCAGAATTAGGATCATTCTCGGAAATTGTTAAGAAACAGTAGTTATTTTAATTTTTTATTTTATTGTATTTAATTTTTTTTTTCTTTTTAATCAAGAATGGCGAAGCACGTGAGAGTAGACGGAGTAGCGTTGTTAGAGGGTTTCTCAACAGAAAAATGGCCTGCAGTCATATTACACTTTTATAATTTCAAGCAAAAAGTAATCATTTTTTGCACTATATAGAATTCAGGCTCATTTTGTAAAATTTATTTTAATTGGCATGTTATGTTTTGTGTTAAATCTGTCCTTTATTTCTACTTCTTCCCTCATCTCTACCAGAAATACAAATTATGTGGGCTTTAAATAGCGAGCGAAAATATAATTTACACAGAGAGAGTTGGCAAATTCAGCCAATTCATCTGTCATATTCCTTATATAACTATACACATATTATATATATAGTTAGGATTAGTTATATATATTATATATAGAGAAAGAGAGTTAGAATTAGTTATATATATATATATCTATATATATTATATTTATAGTTAGCATTAGTTATATTTATAATATATATAGGAATATGAGTATATATATTATATATAGAAATGGAGTCATATTCCTTATATATATAGCCCAATCCATCAGTCATATTCCTATTGGAAGTCATATTCCTTCCTCTCTATTGGGTAGTTGTATTATTTTTTGGGCGAATTCTGTCTTTTGTTTATTTTTGTTGACATTTGTGTGTTTGAAAGTCGCGCTTAATTAGGAGCCAGGTGACCGGGTATTTTAATTCTATTTGACATTGGTATATATTTGCTTTGTTTTATTACATAATCTGGCAGCAAGCAGCAATTTTATGTTTTGTTAAACTTGAGTTGTAAAACAAGATACAAATAAACATTCCGTTCAATTTTATTATTACTGTATTTAAAAAGTGTTCGTGAACTCTAAATTACATAGTGGGTGTGTAATTCATCCGCAGTCTAGAAAGGTTAAAAATAAGTAAATTCGTTAAAAATAAGTAAGTAAATTAGGTATCACCTTTCTGAAACCTTGCTAATTTTCTTTGGGCTTGGGTGGAGGTTTTTTAATTTCTTTTGAAAGGAAATAGTTTCAGAAGAATGTGTATGAAATCACAACCAGAGAGACAGCAATAAAATTAAAAATAATTGGTTTGGAAACTCTTAATAAATGTCAGCAATTATTACAGTTTGTCATATTAAAAACTATATTTATTACAGCTTTATGTTTTTGAAAAATGCCCAAGAAATATTTTAATTCTGAGAATCATAAATTAAGAGCAACAAATGGCAGTCCCAGGGAAAGTAACCCGAGTTCTCAGAGAATTTTCTGGGACATCGTGCGGAACGGGAGCAAACGGAAGCAAGCCGATGTCGTTTGCGTTTTAATAACGATAATGAATTCGATCCAGCCTTGAACTCTACAAAAAAGTGGGCGGGATACGGGGAAAAATGTAGCCATTCTATTCGTAAGAGCACGGAAAGCCCATCAAGGCTCCAATTCCGTCCCAGTCACATGACTCGGAAAGGAACAAGAAGCAGTGAAAACAAACTTTTTGTTTTTTGCAAGGCAATGGAAAGTGTAAATTGTTCTTTTAAAAATCATTTTTCAGAAGTCACGGAATCTGGCTGTATTCCGCCCAGAATAATGATCCAACATTTCATGCCGTATTTGTCAGATAGCAAGGAAACTTTCTTTAAAACAGATGGGAAGCGATGCACACTAATTAACCATCGTACAACTTCAATTATCCAACTCAAAGAATGATATGAATGACGCAGAAATTCACCGCTGGTAATTGTTTGGATACAAATGATGGATTGAAACACGCTTTTTGAAATGAAACCTAGAACTGTTTTTCCTGAATTTAAAATGCTGAAGGCCGTCAACTATTCTGGATGATGACTCAGAATGATCAACCTGATTTAAAGCGACCACATTTTTGAAGTTTAGCAGAACGTTTGCTTTATGACATTAGGCTTTTGACAACCTAATATCTCTACACAGTTATTCTAAATAGGACGTAAATCCGTCCGGATACTTGTATTGTCTCTTTCCTCCCCTTTCCTATTTTTGTAAATTTGATATTGTTGCTGTTAATAGAGATCTACCGGTTAACAGAGATCTCTTTAACAACTATGTGAAAAAAGCAGGAAGAAACTGAAAATTTACTGAAATACTGAAGTAAGTAGTACAGCAAAGCTCACGGCGAATTAAATAGCTACAAATAACTGAAGGAGGAAAACATAGGTAAGGCAAATCCTCCTTAAAACGTGAGGTCTAAGGCAGATTACCGATATCATTGACAGAGTGAACTCTAGAGCAATAATCATTGTCACTTCGCTAAATCTCTGAACTATTGACTCTTGGCTTCAACGGCCATGGATGTAAGGCTGCTCAACACTTTGGAAACTTCGAGACAAATCGCTCCTAAGGGCTTGCATTTTCTGAAAACTTCCAGAATTCCCAAGTTGGCAAGAAATCACCAAATGTCATAAACGCGACGACAAAAAATATTCTAAAGGTCTATCAGGAGAATTTTTGCCTGTATCTCAGCTTATATCAGTCTTCACAATTTAAACGTTAGTCGATTCAGAATGACTAGATCAGCACACTACATGAAATAAATCCTCACAGGCAAAAAAGATGGCTACAAGTTAGATTAAACTAAAATATACAAAATATTATAATATAAAATACATAATATGTAACACTATAAACTAATTAAAAAAACAAAATATAATGAAGGAACATAAGTATTTACAACATCTTTAAGGACTCCATATCCCAAGTTGTGCAGTCCTTAACATCAGGAATAACTACCATAGCAAGTGCAAGTCTATGTAGTGCATTAGTTTCAGAAGCAGGAATTCTTTGTATACGCACCGCTATGTAGTTAAGTTTCTTAATGAGTCGAAAAGGCTCTTGTTACGATACCTGCGACTTGGAAGAGATCCTTCAACAACGCTTGAATTACATACAGAATCAAACATAGTTCTGCTTCCAAGGGCTTCTTGTCCGTTCTCGTAGTAATTACCGTATTTCGTGACTACCACCGTCGCCTTTCTGCCGCTTTGTAAACCCATCATTTAGTGAATCAATGAACGTCTTTTTAATGCATCTGCAAGTCTTCCAAGTATTATTCAGGCGAAGAAAACATGCACGCCAAGTTACATGGCAGACAAAGATCACGTCCTAATACTGTAGTAGCACTTGTCAAGGCGCATATATAATAAGTGCGTGATAGTGTATCGTAACAGTCGAAAATTTTTGAAAAGGATACACTAAAAATGTTTTTAATATCAAAACACACTAATAAACTGAATACAAGCTAATTCACTTGATCCATAAAAAGAAACAATCGGATAGCTGGAATCCGTATAATCGACGCTTAAACTCATCTGGCGTTGAAGCGGTAATGCTTCGCTTTGAAAAAATATTTTTAGAAAGGTCCTCCGAGAAGGCATCCCATACTTTAAGCAAGTAGCTATTAAGTGCTTTGCCATTAGCTAATAAAATCTATGAGAGAAAATTTTACCTCTGGCTATCTCGTCTGAGAAATTTGTGTTTCTTTGCAGGTTTATACTGAGACTGCTACAGATGTTATGTCCGGCGTGACATCACCTGCAGTCAGGCAGATCTCCTCCCAGTTCCTCAAGTGCGGAGTTTGTCTGGACAGATACGAGAATCCAAAAGTAAGTTTTCTGGCATACTTACGTAATAACTACTTTTTCCAGTTTCTAGGAAATTAAATGATTTCTTAGAAATATTAAAACTGGCTTTCAAATTTAATTTCTGACGGTATGAAATATAATCAGTTCTTGCAAAACGAAATTTTAAAATGTTGCTTATTCTACCGTATTATTAGAAAGGGGGCTTTGAAATCAAAAGCCTCGAAATCGAATATGAAATTTTCCAAGTGTATAATGACCCACAATGTCAGGTGGTTTCTTTTTTATAAAATAATCATTTCTATAATTTTGAACCATCGCATGCAATTAATGCTGTAAATATTGAAATGTAACGTATTTCCTACATTTTTCTGGTTTGGGGGCGGACTACAGAGCTTTTTCATTTCTCAGTTTCTGAAGACCAAAAAACCTACGTAATTCTCAATTTTTTATTTTCGATTATATTTGATTTTTTTTTATTGGATGGCATGCTTATTAGCATTAATAGTAATTGCACTGTGATATAATAACAAGTAGAAGTATATTTTTTAGTCTTTAGAGTATAAGTTTGAGTCTGTAATAGAAGTATACATTATTTTCTTAATTTATTTTCTAAACAGTATTGATTAATTGATTATATTATCTCCTAAGTTTAATTAAAGTAGAATTATTTTAAAAGTATGCATCCATACTGGTAAGTTATATTTTGAAAGATGTTTGAAGTAATTTGAAAGCAAAATGTTAATAATGTTTTACGGGGACTGGAGTTAAATCATCACGAAGATAATATTTCAATTGTAAAAGGAAAAATTAAAACATGTAATCATTGTCATTGATCGGAAATTAGTTGACTTTTCAAGGAGAACAAACCAACTCCCGTTCAATGAACAATAATTGATAAAAATACGTAAATACGAAAGTGTTTCGTCTTTACTCGAGTTATAAGTTAAAGCCAAATCGGCAATTCTAGTCAGGCCAAATATTTCCGCGAATAGTAGGAATTATGAACCAATGCTGATACTCAAAGAACTTATTCTTATGAAGCATTTTAGTCAATTCAATTTGGAGTAAAAATCAATTACTGTAGAGAAATCCTATAAAACTCGAGTAACCGTCCCCGACACTTTCATGTTTATGCATTTGAGTACTATATTATTTGTAGAAATTAAACATTGAAAATTGTCATTATGAAATCGAATTCAAAGTAAAGTTGAAATAAACATAGAAGATTATAAAAAAAGATAAATAATGCAAACTTTGTAAAAAACGAATCAAAGTAATATAAAAATAAATAAAAATAATATAGAAAGTAATATAAATAAGATCAGTGAATGTACATGAAGATATAAAGGCCAGAAAAGGTATTAAGTAACTTACATTCTTTCTAGTAGGGGAGTTGGCAAAGTGTTCTCTTCGTGTCTGACTCAGAAGTGTAGGATGTCCGAAAATTCTTAGCGGCAGTAGGGGCTTTGAATAATATCAGTCGGTAAGACTTGGGTGAAGTAATTTATGGTAGTGGGTGGGACTTGGAATTCTTGAGGGATGTATTGAGGGAGTTCTTATCTGAGAGAGACCGTCTGTTAAGATGTTTTTGAAAATACTAGTGAATGGAAATTAATTAATTTCTGGCTAATTGTCGTGTCACAATGATTAAGAATTTAAGAAGGAAAAAGGCATTTTCACTGTCCAAGAGCTAATAGAAGACAGCCTAAAGGCATGAAATAGGCCCATTTTTTAGTAACAGTATATGTCTGAAGACAATTAGCTTTTACAATATATACAATTGAGTAATTAACTATATACAAATCTTCCAACTGACAGTCATCCAACTTATACCGCGTTCTCAGGTTTAGGAATAATTATCATATCCTATCAGTTAAATGATTTAGAGTGAGTATTTAACACCTGCCTCTTTTAAGGCAATGGTTGATAAATTGAAAGGGAATTAGATTATTTTTGAGAATTTTGATAAGGATCAAAATTTCGCGTTTGTAAATCTATTGTATCTGTGCATATAGTTTTAATTCGTGTTGTATTGATTAATTATAGTATTGTTAATAACTTTTTGGATATGTTGGGTTCCAATTTATAAATTTGTTAGTATTGAAATTGAAGTTTTCTGTTTTGTCAAAAAGTAAAATTTTTTTGTAGTTAATGATTTGAACATCTAGAAAGTCTATGCTATTTTGTGAATTATTAGTTTTATTAAGTGTAAGACAATTCGGATAATCTCGGAGTGTTCAATTTTTACCAAAATTATTAATTGTAATAAGGTCATCAATATATCTGTAGGTGTGTTGTAGTAATTTTAACTCTTGTGGTTGTAGATTTTTTTGGAAGTTAAATTCTTTGACAAATAAAAAGATATTACAGATCGAGGTGCTGGAATGTAAGCCCATTGGCAATCCTCTGACTTGTTTAAAAAGTTGATTTTGAAACTTGATGTAGTTATGAAAAAGTGTGCATTTTAGGTAGGTTTTCCATTTGTCAAGAGTCATGATATTGAGTATATTAGGGAAAAGTTTTGTAGATCAAGTAGACTGGTAAAGATTTTCTTCTAGAGAAGTGAGGTATATAAGTTTCAAATTCATAGCAGTTAATGTTTTGGATGTTAATGGTATGAAATGGTATTAATGACAGGAGTGTTATTATGAATGATCCAGCAATAGTTATGATTAGTGTTACAATCATTGAAAATAAATTTACAGATTTTATTAAGTTGAATTGAAAAATAATAGTCTACATTTTTCTTGTAATTATTAGTTCCATTAGCTATAAATCTAAATTTTAATGGTGTTTTATGGAATTTGGGAATTGCATAAGATTAGTAAATCTGTGTGTAGTTTGCATTGAAAGTAATATTGAGTTCTTATGAAAGTTTTAATTTGTTTATTATAGATGTTTCTGTAATGTTTGGCTAATTGCTAATTAGTTGCGTTGAGAAGTTCTTTATGAATAATTTCAGCGTAGAATTGTTTTCATATAATGCTAAAGTTATTAGTTGCTTTATCTATTTTTGTAATAGTAAAAAGCTGTTTTAATTATTAATATCTGATGTAAGTTGCGACCAATTCATTGTACTTTTAAATTTGAGGTGACTGATTTCGGTGGATATGCGTTGAAGAATTTTAGCTTTCCATTTTAAGAAGGTATCTATGGGTAAATTCAGTTGATAGCTTGCTTTAACTATAAATTCGTTGATGTTGTTTTCGAAAGTCTTGTAACAGTAATTTGTAGTCATGTTTCTGACAGGTCTAATTTTTGTACCATGACTCATTGGTTTTTAGTTGATGGTTTTGTATGATATTCAGGTTGCCAGTAATTATGTGCTGGTGATGAGAATCTACGTAATTGCTGTAAATTGGTGTCTTACAATGTCATTCTGCAGTTTCATCTATTTCATGGTGGTTAGTAAGCAAGTTGCTTAAGGTCCTTTGATATTTAAATGCAATCATTGGTATTGTGTCAACTGCGGGGAAGTAATCTTTACAATCTCTGATGATTCTTGAGAAATGAATATTGTCAAACTGCGGATGCAGAAAATTGACTTTAAAATAAATTTTGCGTTGAGTGAGACTATTACACTTAAATGTTGAATTTAAAATATAGTAATCCGTAGCGCAGGCATTTAGTGTTTCACTTTCTTCCAAACAGTTAATGGTTGTTAACTTTCCTGTAATTGAAATCGCGATTCATTTGCCTTTATACTACATAATTAGTCCGAGCATTATATATTTAGCTGTCGATCCCAAGCGTAACAGTTTAGCTGCTATTTCACAAAAGAAAAGCATTACAAAGTCAGGTAGCCAGTCACATAAGAAGATATCAGGTATACTTTCTTCTAACATCGTATAACTACTTTTACTTCTACTTTCTTCTACTGGGCAGCCTCTTCTATCTTGATTGGTTCACACTCAGGATATTGAATCGAATCGAGTAATCGATTCAATATCCTGAGTGTGAAGCAATCAAGATAGAAGGGGCTGCCCAGTAGAAGAAAGTAGAAGTAGTTAGTTATACGATGTAGAAAAAAGTAGGAGAAACGTGAGAGCTATGCACACTGCGTAGTGAATTCTTTGCTGAGCTGGTTCCCGAAGCGAAGCTCAGTGTGCTCTGTGATAGATGTTGTGTTAGAACAGTAGTGCGACGGAGCAAAACCTGTAAATACAAAGGCGAAGTCCTGGTGCTTCGCCCGCTTTTCGTCGTTCTTGGCATAATTAAAAACAATGTTTCCTTCTTAGAAGATTTTTTCGTCCAGATGCAAAGACTGAATCTGCTTGAATAAAATAAGCAGGTATAAAGAGACTGGAAACAAGATTCATTGAGACAAATCTTAAGGAAGCAAGAATTATGCTGTGGAGGATACTTACGTATTTTCCACCGAACCTGAGGGCTGGCGGAAATCTCGCCGAAACTGCGCTAACGGTAACGGTGGGAGTTTGAAGAAACATATTGCTGGGCATTTAGTTAAGTTGTAGCAAATAGCTCTTTATTTATTTAAGTAATCAACAACTGCAAGTTACAATTATGGCATATTAAAAGCTTACAAGCTCAAGTTTTCAGATTGTCTAACAAAGAAATTCGTTAAAGCTGGCGCCTATCATTTTGGTGGTCAAATATTTCTAAGGGAATATTAAATAAAAAAAGTTAGTAGGGCTACCTTCTTTATTAACTCGCGTTTCATAACCTCGGGATGGCGTCGCGCCCGAGGTGACTTTTATTGCACGATTTTTTCAATTTATTGCGCTATTTTGATTAACTCTGCTGTCTTTTAATGATTTGAGTATACGTATTAGTGTAACCAGTTCTGTAACTTTGAAAATACGCCTCTTATTGCTGTTCTGTAGAAAACACGTCACAAATTTTAATTCTTTTCTCAAAGTGCAAGAGAAAAACAGACAAATAGCAGTTAATTTATAACTTCATTACAAAACTTGGTCTGGCTTACTGAAGATCAGTATTACATAAAATCAAACAGAAGTTCGTTTTAAGCGACTTTTCCTCACCCCGATGAATTAAAAGTCATGGTATCGGACACATTTTTGCGTGATTTTTTATTTAGTTATTTATTTATTACGCCTCTCGTTTACGTTTATAGGATTTAGGAAGATAATATTGAGAGAGCTAAACTATTATATAATGTTAATTTAGAAAAAAAAAAAAAAAAAAAAAAAAAAAAAAAAAAAAAAAAAAGAGATTTTTTTTTCTTTTATTATTATTTAGAACGTAGCTTGAATTTTTACAAAAACTAAATTTACACTGTTTTGTACTTCGAAAAAGAGTTTATGAAAGCATAACATAATTTACTTTTAATTTTAACCCCTGCCTAGTAACTGATTTGCACTGCGCTGTGATTACCATGTTTTTAATACTTAGGAGATTCGATGATGCATATTTATGTTAACTGTAAAAGCGTAAAAATTTAGCATAAAATGGCGGCATGCTCCCCGCCTTCTTATAGAAGTTGTATTTCTTATGAATGTGTTGTAGCGTTAAGTTTTAGTGGCGATAAATTACGTTGTTTGGCTACGTTAGTTATAGAAAACGATCAACTGCAAAATGAATTTAGAAAGACCAATCATTCGATTAATCGCTATTTGGATAATAAAGGCTCTGTTGTAGTTATATTTAATTTATAGCACTGTTCCATGAAGAAAGGTTTTTACCTTCACGGTTGTTTGTCACAGATACTAAATGAGGATTGTAATAATTTTAAAATTATTGTTGCAATAAATCTTAATGCATTTTGAGCCATACATTAATTATGAGATCCACTGTACTGTTTATAAAAAAAAACAGATTTATTCATAGATTATTTAAAAGTCCAAAACTTTTATGACAAATAAAGTGATATAATTTAAATAACCTAGCACATCAACTATACAAAACGAATATTTTTGCGATAGATGGCAGCACCAACAAATATTTTTGGATGGAATATTTTACTGTTGGTGCTGCCATCTATTGGGAAAAATGTATTTCAGTGCTTCATACAAAAAGTCTTCGAATTGCTGATAACGATATTTTTCAAAAGTATTTATTAGACTATATCCTAGAATAAATGTTTACTAAATAGTAGGTTCCGAATACTAATAAAGTATTAAGTAAATTTAATTTTTCATACTGTTGAGCGCAAAAAATCTTTACACTCTTTGGTTTAAAATGTCCTAAGAAACTTCTGCAATTGAAGAACTTCATTGCAATTGGTCTTCATTGACTTCGACATGCATTCCATATTATTAATTATTTTAAAAGTAGGATTTTATGTACTCAAACATCTAAATATCCGAATCGCTCATTTTTCTTTCTAGAGCAGCTAAAATGAAGCTTTTTAGTAATTTACTTGCGTAACTTTATTTTTATTTATATATTTATTTATTTAAATGAGGATAATATAAATGCCGCTGCAAATTAATAAGAATTACCTCTGATTCTTCTTGCCTTAACATCTCTAATAAAGGTATAATGTTCTTTTCTTAACCTTAATAAGTGCTCATTTTCTAAAAACAGATCAATCAAACACAGTTTAAGAGGGGAACTTTTTGTTTAATTTTGTCAAAAACCGTGTAATTTGTTTTCTGTGGGAAAAATGTATTGTATGACTTTAAATGACATAAAATACGATAAAAAATAAAACTTCCTTCATTATTCAGCACAGAAAACAAATATTTAGTAAGCTGAAAATGACGATATAATTATCCGAATGGGCTGTGGGCTCAGTTACGTTAATTCAAACAATATAATTTTATATAATAATAGTTAATTCAAATAGTATAATAATATGTTAATAATTAATACACACACTGACCAATGAATTGTAAACCTTTGAGATTTTCATTTGAGTGCATGCTAGGGAGGAAGTATGCAATTTTTTTTTATGACGTGGGTTACACATTATTAGAAAGTAAGGTGTAAGAGTGCTTTTCACGATGAATGAAGTAAAATGGAAAAAACGACAGATCGTTCACCATTTGAAAAAGGGCTTATTGTTGGTGCCTGTTTAGCAGGGGCCTCGATTTCAAATACAGCAAATCTCTCTGGGTTCTCAAAAGCAGCCACAACAAAGGGTTTCAAAAGTTGGAATCAGAACCCTTAGTTTCTGGAAAATGTACTTTTTTAATATTTACTGACTTTTGGACCAGCATATAATTTGTTCTCATGCACTTGCATCAGTAAAAATTCGATGGAGATCGTGTTTATGCCCTTTCAGGTCCTGCCTTGCCTGCACACATTCTGTGAACGCTGCCTGGTGACGTCTATGCCAGCAGAGAGCCTGACATTGTCTTGCCCGCTTTGTCGCCAACAGTCCATTCTTCCGAAGCAAGGCATACCGGCTCTGCAGACCAACTTCATCATCAGTAGCCTCATGGAGGTGTTGGACCATCCTTCTTTGTGCCAAAGGTAACGGACACGTTCTCTTGTCTAGTTTACTATCTCTGATGAAAGACATACTAGTATAAGATAGGAATAATTTCATGGCTTAACTTTCAGAAATACAGCTATTATTCGAAATTCTACTAGTCAGCTTCAACCCTTGCTAGTTTTGAACTTTCTTTTGCACTTCTGCAACCTTTCGGGCCTAAGCGGATACATATAATATGAATGGAAAGGTAAATAGAATAGTATTTAGTTTAAGCTTAAGTGTAAGCAAAATTTAAAACAATTGTCATATTGTTACTTACAATATGTTTTACAAAACGTAAACTGAAGATTTGCTAGCTTGGGAACAAATTTCAAGAGTTTGTAGAGACATTAGGTATTTTTTGAAAGCAGGAGAGATGAAAAATGAACAATGCCTTCCCCAGGACTCGAACCACGGGCCTCTCGAACACGCGCCGAGCGTATTGACCACTACGACACGAAGGCATGCTAAGAAGGCGAGAGAAATACCTTATATACTCCCTCTTTTAAAGGGCGACTGGGATTAGGGAACCCAATCGCCAAATCCTGGTGGTGGACTACCATCATTCACCACCTTTTTTAGTTCGGGTGCTACTGTAGAGACATTAGGTATTTTTTGGAAGCAGGAGAGATGAAAAATGAGTAAAAAAATGTACCCTTGACGGTACTCGAACCACGGACCTCTCAAATACGTCCCACGTGCTGAACACTAATCTACGAAGGCATGCTAAGAAGGTGGGAGAAATATCTCATAAGTTATCTAATATCACCAGCAATTTACAGTTCTAATTAGTTAATTTGATATTTAGAAGTTTTATGTCAGTACAAAGCATTCAATTTCAGTTTCCAGTTACTAAAGCGCGAGAGATTTTCCGTTATCTACCCACATAATAACAAAGCTTATAATTAATTCAAAGTGAATAGCCTTAGAGATTATTATTGATCAAGATTGCTAAAATTTCCACTGTTTCTACGATTACTGTGAAACAAGCTTGTTACTTTATGTTTCTAAATTTTATGCAAACATTTAACGCTTTGTTTCTGGAGTGCTTGTTATTACCGTTACGATAAGTTCGAAATATTCGTTGCAGGTGCGAGCAGCAGCCATCTGTTGCCAAATGTTCCGTCTGCGAGGGCTTTTTCTGCGATGTATGTTCGAAGCGCCACCAGTCTCAGGATGAGACGAAGTCACATCGTCTTCTGTCCCTCAGCGAGCTGGCCCTCCAAGAGGAAAAGCAGGGAGCTCTTATGTGTCCCAAACACGACGCACAGACGCTGCGTTTCTATTGCAGAGACTGCGAGACGGCCATCTGCGTCACGTGCACCGACATAGAACACAGTGGCCACCTGACGACGCGCCTGAAAGAGGCCATGGTAGAGCAAAAAGGATTACTAAATGATCTTTTGGACAGGGTGGAGGCCAAGGTGATTCCTGTTATTATTTATTTAATTATATGCATTTCTTTTAAACTTTAAAATGATCATCTTCAAAAAGTGCCATATAATTAATGATATGGCGATTATTTCTAACAAAGCAAATAATTTTTGCGTAAACGAAGTGATATTGCAGACAGGGCCCGATTAAGTTAATTTTAGGCATTTGTTGTAGGTTATTTTAGGGCCTCCAATTCCCAGTTTCATTGCTTTTCTGAAGAAAAATCGTGGTTGTGGAGAGGTAAATCATAGTTTTGGTATTCTCTAACAACCTAAACGATAATGACCACAAGTCTAGATCACTTTAAAGGCAAGGTCCTTTCTTGTTACTCAAGTAAAGACCTGACTGCAACAATGTAAATTGTGAACACGTTTTACAGGCTAAACAAAACATAAATTAGAATAAATGACGTTATGCATGGACACTACAAAGAAATAACTCCAATTTAAGCGGAAAAAAAAATTACATAGTAATGATCTTGGATTTCACATGAAACTTCTCATCCCATGTTTAATAACATGCATTACAACTACTTCACCGTCATCTTTAAGCCTAAATTACAAGCATTTGGAACATAGGTTATGGTTGTTTTTTACAAATAACTGTCGAAAAACTACTTATAGTCTATCAGAAATCTACTCGAGTAGCACGCTGAAATTTGAAAATCAGACTTCTGGCACATATAATCCCGTATTCCCATGGAGGGGTTGAAGAAGATGAGGGGCGCTTAAGAGTTATGATACTTGTTTCTAGAGAACGACGATGAGAAAATGTATTATTATTGGCGATTACTGAAGGGTGATATTTTGCATATTTGGTGCAGTTAAGCTATTGAAAAGGGCGAAAGAGTGCTCTTCAGGTTTTGACATAAAATTAAAAATAACAATAAAAATAATATTATCTGAAAGTGTATTCTAGTCTCATAGGTTTCAAGAACTTCAATTTCTATATGGATTAATACTGTGTTATTTTTTAATTTTAGGGAAAACATTTAGGAACTAATTTAATAATAATTGTGTTATTAATTTGGGAAGTATGAATTTATTTGATCTTGTGTTTTCGGATTCCTGGTTAATAAGTTACTTATAAATTAGAAAACTGTGTAAAAAAACTTCAAATTATTGGCTCATAAACATAAATTTTGCATCATTTGTTCATCTCAGAGTTCTGATAAATTAATAAATCAACTTCATAATTGCATTCGTATATTATAAAAATGTAGTCGTTAATTTTCAATTTTTTTGGAGTCTTTCTGAACTTTTCCTCTCTCTCTCTCTCTCTCTTTTTTTTTTTTTTTTTAAATTCTTGAGCAGTGGTACTTTAATTGAAATATAATGTTAGGAATGTTTACATTTCTAGACGCGTCGTTTTAAATGTTAAGAATGATTTTAATTCTGAAATGGCATGATTCATAACGGATTCGATTCAAAATTATCTCACCATAACTTCGTCAAATTTTAATACTAAATTTGCCTTCAAATTTATGGTTACTTCGGAATGCATGCCTGTCTTTCTCTCGGGAATAAATACTTTGATGGAGAATGGAACTTTCAAGGAAAGTAAAGCTCTCACCCACATGTCAAAAGCTTATTTTCCTGGAAGTGCAATGAATTTATGAGATCGGTTAAATTTTTCGTTTCCGAAAGTACCTGATCATTCTGGTCGTACACGTTCAGTGTTAGTGACTTCCCACTGCAGAGTTGATGATGCTTTTTGGATAATGTAAGCAAATACTGGGGACGGAAATCTGGATCAGAAAGGGCTGAACTTTTCTTTCTTTATTTTCGAAGCTACATTTCTTCGTTAAGATTTCCTTCCACATTCTCATATTGTTTCTAACATTCTGTGTATTCTCATTAGAAACCCTTTAGTATTTTACCTTTTTCATTGATGGACTGAAAAAAAAAATGGTTTTTGTTTCTATCATCCGTTGAAATCGTACATTATACCATATATTTAGGACTTAAATTCATTCGGAAGACGATTGAATTATTTTTTAGTTCTTGAATGAAACTTTAATATCAGCCAAAACCCCAAATAAGACAAAGTCCGATATTTTATTTTTTTCATTTAATTGCTTATCATTAATTTAATAATTTATTAAATTTTTATTTATCGCTTTACATTTTATTGAATTTAAATTTAAATTTAAGCATATTATTTTAATTATTAGTTATTTTATTTATTTATTTTTTCTTTCCCGCTGGCTTTCTATAGGGCTCCGGCACTTCTAATTTTAAATATCACACCCTGCTCACTGCTCTGACAAAATTTCTGCTTTCTGGCAGCAACAAAAACAGAAATGTTCTAACATATGTTTCGGAATTTTAAACTTTAAACCATGCATTTATTTTAACGTTTAACCTGCTTCGCAGCAGGTTGCTGATGAATGGCAGCTCAAAGCAAGATATATCGCTATTGACGAAATTAAAAGGCAGTTCTAATATTTTATTAATATTTACCACATTTGGAACCACAAATTAATGAAAAGATTGTTATTAGGGTCAAGAACCTGCCAATACTTGCAAAGATTAAAACATTATCACAAAACTTTTGAATTTTTAACATTATGAAGCAAAGGACTCATAAGGACTCTCTCACCAATATGAACTAATAATTTTTCTAAGAAATTCACTTACTTACTGTTGGCAGTGGCGATAAAGGCAAAGCATATTTTGCGTCCCTTCAATAAAGTTAAGACTAATCTAAATAAAATTCATGCTTTATTCCGTAAATTAAAATGAAAGAAGCTAACACTGTAGCCTTTACATTTAAAATCATTGAGTGAAAGAAAGCTAGCATTATGCTAACTCAAAAAAGAACAAGAGATTCGCCGATACCGGCGTACATATAATTAATACTCGGCCAAACCGCCGATCTTGACGTCATCGGCCAATCAGCAGCAACCACGTTAGCTTACCGCCGATTGACCTCCGATCAAAATTTGTATGAGGAAAACTAAAGCCAACATTAGCAACAGTTTCACAACAATTCTGTGCAAGCTGTAAACTTATTTTTCTCAGTCTTATATATAACAAACCTTCGGAGCTGACGTTCTTGAGAAATGACTGAGATCTTTTTTAGGAGGATTCTCTGAAATGAGAAGTTCAATTGCTACTTTGTTTTATTAGCAATTTACTTTTCACTAAATAAATTATGTAATTATGACAGAACGTATTAAAAGTGTCTGCCTGAGGGAATGAATGCTGTCATGAAGAAATTGGTAAGGAAACCTGACCCGTTACATATGAGGAATTTCACGGATAGTCCATACAGTAAGATTTTTGCTGTAATCAACAATAAAATCCGATTGAACTACATGTGTTTCTATTCTACGCTCAGCCATTGTTCGGATAAATACTTAATAAATATGCATCTTCTGGTAATGTTTGAAAGGAAGCAATACCAGTAGACAAAGAAGTAAATGAGAATAATGAAACGTAAACTGGTTAATAAAATTAAAAGCTAACAATGTCATTCGACGCAGTTATAGATTGAAACTTCGCGAATTCTATATGATACTAATGAAAAACCTTTGTTTATTTTGCTGCTATGATTTAACTCTAGCTGGCTTATCTCTCATCTCGTTCCAGATCCCTGTCGTGGAGAAGGCACTGGGACTGGTTTCAGACGTCGCCAACAGCCTGGAAGACCGCCACGAAGCCGCAACTGCGCAAGTTGAACACTGTTTCAAGCTACTTTCAGATGCCGTGCACCTGAGACGCGGCCAGATTTTGGAAAGTCTCGACGAAACATATGCTGCCAAACGACACGTCTTGGACCAACAGAAGAATCTGTTGCAGTATTGCTTAGGAACTCTAAATTCCAGTTGCGAATTCACCAAGAAAGCACTGAAGCATCAGGACGACACGGAGTTTCTATTAGTCAACAAGCAGGTGATGATGTAAATTAATTTTTTTTTAAATCTGGCGTGTAGTTAATGTCGTAGGTCAGTGCAGCTGTATTTTGCGATTTTCAGATGATAGCTAGCGTACACTGGGTAGGGTGAAGAAATTCAAAGAGTAACAGTTAGCGTAAATAAGCAAACACGTTATTTCTGATTATAACTTCGTTGAAAATCATTCTAAATTTAAAAAAGGTTTTCCGAAGTAAGAGACGTGGGAAATCAATTGTGTTATTCGCTTTATTATTGCACTCAAGATTACTATACAAGGTTTGCTTTTATTGACCAAAGTCAACCAGCCTGGTGGTATCGACGTCCTTGACTCGTAAGTCTGAGTAGATAGATATAAGATACGTCACTGTCTCGAGCGTCGGAAAGAGATATAATTGATCTTGAAAAAGGAAAATGTTTGACCTTGACCTTTGTGTGTCTAATGACGTTGATCTTGTATGTACATCTTGTATGTACAGTTCCTGCGTCAGGTCTAAAAGAACGGACATTTTACTTAAAAACATTAAATGTTGATAGAGTAATAAAAACTACTATTACTGTACAGTATTGTATCATGTAGAGGACAGGACGCCAGGATTTTACCATTAAGAGTACAGGCATACGGTATACTTATTGTATGTACTATATAAGCACATTTTAAAACGAATTAATAGGGCAAGGAAACTGAGTAGGAGACATGTATTGCCTTATTAGTTCTCATAACCATGTGCTACCATACTGCTCCATTGCGAACGAGAAAGCAAACATACTTAACCTTTTGAGGCCGGGGCTTTGGTAGCAGTAAAAGCTACCAAAGGACGGGGAATTTTGAACCGAATGCTTTCCCCCTTTAAGAAATCACCTCCTATTTGTGACAAAGATTCTTGTGTGTAATTCAATGGATTCTCAGAGGGGTGCATCTATGTCGCAAAAGGAAGACCTTTGAAAGAGATAAGTGGTTAAAACCCTAGGGACGTCAAATTTGACATTTCACCCCACTTTTCAGCCTGGAAAATGGGGGAAAAAGACATGGCCACTAAAGTGGACAACCTCGTCTTTTCAAAGAGAGTCTCTATGGCCACTATAATGGCCATCCCGTCTTCAAAAGGTTAAATGCATCTTCAGGTGCATTATGAAAATAAATTAGTATGCATGAAGCTAAAAGTACATGCTTAAAAGAGTTACTGATGCCCACATGTTTTGTGACTTCATAAGAACCTAATGATTCCGTAAGAAACGCGTCGTCACATGGGAACGTCAACAAATGCTTAATTAGGATAGAGTGCATTACTGGTTCTTGTCTCATCTAGCGACATAGATATACAGGAGAGGAACAAGCATAAGGGACGCCGAGACTTTACCACATGGTAATACAGGTGATGTCCTGCGATGCTACTGATTCGATGAAATATCCTGCGGGGGCTATCGCCTATCTTTTCAAAACATTTTCATGTAATTACTATTTTGAAACATAAGTGCACTAAGCTAAAGTATATTTTGTTTCATAACAGTTATTGCTCACAAGTATCTTGGCCTTGTTCGAAAGTTAAGGTTATTTAATTATGACAAAGCATACGAAGATTATCTGCTTAAGGGTAGTGATGCTTCCATGGAGGACGTTCAAAGGAAAACTTGTTCGTGTACAAGTTACATATGAGAAAAATCATGAAAACCAACTTTGCAGCCAGCTCGTTCGCCAGGGTTGGAAACTGGGTTAAGCTCCTGTATTCAGCGACTCAACAACTCAGCCTAATGAGGCCCCTGTTCCGAAAGGTATTTGACAATATTGTTAATCTTGAAGTTTTGAAGCGTTTGTAAAATATTTTTGAAACTCGGGTTCGTTCGCTGTTTGTCTAACACTGTGGTGTGGACATGAGACGGATAATAAACATGAGAAGAGCAGTGCTCTGCGGCAAACGTAGTTGTTTGTGAAAGACAACTTACATTTCTCTTATAGTAATGGATGGGGAAAGGACCATATGCAGACATGAATTGATTTAAATGGGGGTTTTTGAGATATTTTTTCCCCGTTTTCTGCATTAATCAATTCATTTGCTGCTTTGCCTTGGGGTGTAGAGTTGGATTTGTATTGCCAATTTTTTTTTTCTTTTTTTGGAGGGGGTTCTTAGACATGACTTTTGGCCACTCTACTTTCGTAACTTCGGAATCGGATGTAGTGGCTGCCCCTTTAGTGAGAGAATTGAAGTCATCGTTTTCATCACTCTGTAATGCTTTTACTTATCTACGCGAAGTTTTAATTTTGCTGTTTTTGGAGGGGATTTGAAAAATTTCTTTTGCTTTGGCAAAGAGTGTTAGAATTTCGCTATTGTACGTAGGGAAGAGGGAGACTGTGTGATTGCATTTATTTTTTTTTTAAATTGTCGGGCACTTAATTTAATAGCCATTAGCCTTGCGCCACTACAAGGACCGGAAGCACTTAATGGGTGGCCGCAATTGCCTTCTATGAAGGGATGAACAGTTACAACCATGTCTTCTCCGGGATTCGAACCCGGTCCTATCGCTGCGGCAGTCAGGGTCACTAACCACTATACTGGCTGCGCAGCTGATTGCATTTATTACTAAATGTAATTTCTGGGGTCTTTTTGATAGCTAAAATTCCGCTTGAAAAGTTGTACTTTCTGAGCACAGTTGCCCTTCCTTGCGTATTTTTAAATTTCCAATTTTATAGAAAATACAGGTAATTTTCTCGTTTTCATCTGTTTTTGATTTATTTGTATATGCGATTGGGTACGTAACTGACATCTATAGAGTTTTTAAAGTAGGGTTTTATGCTAAGAGAATTTATGAGGAAGCTTGATTCCTGACCTGTGATGTTTTGGTTTCAAACGCTGCTTCTTTGATTTCAAATCTTTTTCTACGGTGGCAGAACTGTATGAAATCATACTTACCTGCGTAAGTACTTAATAAACACCGAAATATTAATGTATATCGCCACTGCATATTTTTATGCACAAAAAGATGTTACTGGTCCCAAGCCATGCTAATTATTGATTTTTGTATAATAGAGCTCCAATTATTCGGATATCTGATACTCGGAATTCTATTTATCCGCATCAGTTTTCTGTCAACAGGTCAAGTCAAATTAAATGCAATGTTAATTGATACGTTTTTTTAATTTTAGAATAATTTTTATTTGTTGTTTGGCATGGAAGATAATATACAAGACTTTTCAAGATGTTTTAAACAAACTTAAATGAAATGAAATGATCGCCTAATTTAATAAATGAAATTTTACATTAAAATTATCGTACATTTTGATGTGGTAACATTTTAACTTATATTATGTACATTGACCATTTTAACTTCTTTTATGAGAAGCTGACCTTTCGTAGAAAATCTCTATGTAAACTTAACAATGCATGTGCTAGTCCTTTTTTTGTAGATGTTTCTTTTGATTGTGATTGTATTAGTTAAAGAATGTGTTTCTATAGATGGCGGACAGACTTCGAGAATTCGCCGTCATGCACATCCAGAACATGCCGGAAGAAAACGAATATCTCGAATTTTTGGACGAGAATGCCGCCGACGCGCGAAGGGCCATACAGATGTGCGGCGGAATTCGAACCTCTCACGCGGTTGCCATGGAAACGACGGCCACCGGTGAGGGTACCAAACAGTGCACTGTGGATAAACCAGCCCTGGTGAACTTGACGACAAAGGATGGTAGAGGAGAGATTGTGACTTCGGGAACTGTAGACTTCAAAGTGGAAATAACTTCCAGCGATCACATTGCCCCATGGACCATCAAACCTGAGATGACAGACCAAAAAAACGGTAGCTACGATCTGGTTTACAGTGTTCCAAAAGAAGGAGTGTACACGTTATCGATCAAACTGTTTGGTTTCCATATCAAAGGAAGTCCGTTTATAGTGAAGGCGTTTGCAGAAGAAGAAAGTTCGTCCAGCGACCGGCCAGTGAGTTCCAAAATACCTCGAACAACAGGCCTGAGGCAACGAGGTAACAAAAGGCCTCCAAGCTATAGATCCGGGAGCTCCAACCGCTGGAGCATACCCATGGAAGACGAGTTTGATCTGGTAATGAGGGTCGGAAAGAAAGGTAGGAACAAGGGTGAGTTTGCCAATCCTCAGGGTGTGTGCTGTACCCAGGAAGGAAAGATAGTAGTCGCTGACAGCAACAACCAAGTCGTGCAAGTGTTTTCGACGCTGGGCGAGTTCAAGATGAGGTTTGGGATTAGGGGCCGGGGTCCTGGACAATTGCAACGGCCCACCGGAGTCGCGGTTACGACTACGGGTAATTTCGTAGTCGCCGACTACGAAAACAAAGCTGTGTTCCTATACGATTCCAAAGGAAAATTCCTCAACAGAATAGGCCACGGCAAGATGTTGGGGCCTAAAGGAGTGGCAGTGGACAGAAATGGACACCTTATTGTTGTAGACAACAAAGGCAGCTGTGTTCTTATCTTCCAAGAAAATGGAAAATTGCTTCACAGGTTAGTTTTTTTTTTTTTTTTTTTCTGTTTACAAATACTAAAACTGTACTGTTAATGAGTTTACATTCTAAGATATTTACAATAAATCTTTCTATATTTCACTTCACGTTTCGTTATGTTATGGCACTACTGCTTTAATCATCCGCGTTAGTTGGCAAATTGCTGATTCTCAGGAATGCTGCAGATTTATAAAAGTGTCTAATATTTAACAATAATGTTCGGATGCTTGGAACTAGATGCGACTATTTTTTTCTGAGAACTTGTTCATGTAACTAGGTTCCCATCTTCAATTTGTACTTTTACTCGAAATTTAAGTACAAATCTACTGCTGGCCAAGCTGGCTAAGCCGATTCCATCATTCTTCTGCATTCCATGTTTTCTTTCTGCATGTTACGCAACACGATGATGGGAGCAGCATTATGAATTTGCGAATAAATTTTTTTGCTAAGAATTCAGTCCGTTTTTTTATCGGGACTGCCTCGGAATTTCGCATACTGTTGCTGAATGTGATACACATTAATATAATATGCGGTCCGGAATAGCAGTTTTGATACTTATTGACGTTCCATGCAGTATAAGAGGTTTTAATGTAGCCTCCAATTTATATCATTATTTATCAACATAACTAAGTGATATAAAATTTCATATTAATTGAAAGGGTTTCTTAATAATTTTTATATTTGTTTTGTGCCTGGTTAATTCATTACGTTAAAACATCTGTTGATGCGGAAGAATGTCGTCGCGAAAGACTTCCTAAGATAAACTGACTAATATTCACACAGGAAACATTCCATGCAGCCTGCTAGTTCTCCGGAGACCAAACCTTGTCGGAATAACCTGTGAATTTGCATCTTTATATAATTTTGAACCTTTTAACTGCAGCACAAGCAATGCTACTTGTAAATGTAAACAATAAATAAACAAATTTTATCAAAATTATGCTTCTTAAAAGTTTATATACGTATAAAAAATAAAGCATTTATTAAAAAAATTTATAATAATCTTAACGATAACTTTTCACGAACTTTGAGTTTTATTACTTTCATCAATATAACTAGTAAAAGATTTTTCTAACGTCATTTATTTATACCTTGGCTACTGATGAACTACTTAATGATAGTAAAAATATTATTATTTTGACATTTAATTGATTCTTCGAACAGAGAAATAACACATTATAGGAAATCTTCAACCTGTATCGGGATATTTTTGTTTGCATTAGTTTTTAAATTTGAAGATAAAAGCTTTTTTCAAAAGAAAAGTGCATTAATAAAATGGAGCCTACAATGGTGCCTCTGATGGAGCCTTCCTAACACGATTATCTCTTAAAGTGATCGTGTACGGAGAATGCAAAAAATAAGCATCGGTGCTGAATATCATTTCTTTAAGTAGAAAACAAACAACAAAATTTTCTGGTGAACATATATACAAACGATTAGCTTACGTCTTTCTTGTAAAATACGTATACGATTAACATAAGT